CAGAAGGCAACAACTCACTGAAAAATCTGATGTCTATTCTTTTGGAGTTGTTCTGTTTGAAGTGTTGTGTGCAAGGCCTGCTTTAAACCCAAGCCTCCCCAAGGAACAGGTTAGTCTTGCGGATTGGGCGTTGCACTGCAAACGCAAAGGAGTTCTTGACGATCTCATTGATCCCTACCTCAAAGGCAAAATCACCCCTGATAGCTTGAAGAAGTTTGCTGATGCAGCTGAGAAATGCCTCGACGACCATGGAGCCGAGCGTCCTTCTATGGGTGATGTCTTGTGGAACCTTGAATTTGCTCTCCAACTACAAGAAAGTGCCGATGGTGGTGGCTCGAGTCACAGATCGAGAATAAACAGCAGCAGCAGCAACAACAACAACAATAATGACGACCACATAGATAACCACAGAAACCAAGACATGACTGCTCATTACAACAACCTCAGCCTTGGAAGTGAACAAGATTTACTCCAACAAACTGATGAACAAGAGAGTACTGAAATCTTCTCCCAACTTGTCCATCCCTCAGGTCGGTAACACGCCCCAACACCACGCCTCTTTGACCTTCTTCTTCTTCTTCTTCTTCTCTTCTTCTTCTTCTTCTTGCTCCACCACCACCATCACCACCGCCCCCTTGAACCAACCAACCAACCAGCTGCCTAACCAGTCAACAAAAAACAAACAAACAAACAATCAATCAATCAATCCAAAACCTTGGGAGTTTTTAAAAAAGCATCATGTTGAACCAGCTGCCTCTGCTATTTTTGGCAAACTTCAGGGAGTGTGTTGTATTTATGTTGGTATTAGCTATTGGGTCTTTCTGTTTGTTTTGATTGGACAGTATATGCATTGCAATTTGTACTTTTAAACTCTACATACAACAACAGCTTGATGATCGGAGTCAAGTTCAACCTGCTGCCTCTATTCCTTATGATAATCTTCTTTCTATTTACAGTACAACACTCATTAGCTCTTTTGCAAAGTACAATTTTATGCGCTATGCATACACTTTCTTTAGGAATTCTCTTCGAATGATTATGTTCTTAGTTTTCTTTTCATCTCTCTCTCTCTCTTAAATCCCCTTTTGTTTCTTCATCTTTTTTCACCCCCACATACTTCAATTCTTCTATTGCTGTTCTGTTCACCTTAAGTAAGTTTCCATCCCACTAGTTTTTTCTTCTAATGGATGGATTTTCAGATGCATTTTGTATTTGCCCTCTCTTATATCATCAGGCTTACTTTTCCCCTAAAGCTATTGGGTTGTTTGAACTTTCAAACGTTTTGTCTTGATTTGTAAGATTTAGATCAGATATTTGTATTGATGAGTATTTGAAGCAAGTTGTATAGACGCTAACAACCGATGTTGTCTTTCTTTTAAACTCGTTTGCTAGGGGTGTAACAGCCCGCCCAAACTCAGCCGATGTGTCTTCTTTGGGTTTTCCCTTTTGAGCTTCCCCTCAAAGTTTTAAAACTCATGTGTTAGGGGTGTAATAGCTTAATCCCACCGCTAAGCAGATGTCCTCTTTCGGCTTTCCCTTCTGAGTTTTTTCTCTAGGTTCTAAAACTTGTTTGTTAAGGAGAAGTTTTCACAATGTTTCGTTATCTCTCCAATTGATAAGAGATCTCACAATATAACACTAAGCTTTTTTTCTTTTTTTCTTTTATAAGACCGTTATAAGAAGGATATTTCACTTTAGATTTTCGATTTAACAATCAAGTAATATTATCTCTTTACTTCTCGTGGAAGAATCAAATTCTCTTGAATACCACGATAGTCCAATCTCAAGATGTGGGAATTGTTATAAAGCATTGAATCAAGAAATGATAAGGATAACGAGGTTGAATGAAGTCTTTGATAAAAATTCTTTAAGGAATTGTTCGTGAAGTTCTTGCTTAAAATTTTACATCAAAACTTTGATAAAAATTTCCAACTTTTACACCGCTTGAACTATCAAGAAGATAAATACCTTAGTGAAGCAAAAAAGTTTGATATTAAATCAACCGAAAACAAAATTGCATTGAAAAAACCCTAATTTCAACCAACGTTCACTCGAGACCCAATTACTTTTGATATCGAACATCAAACAACTTGAATTTACATTCATTTGAAAGCTTAGAATCTAAGCTACAAATCCCTCCCAATATCACAACAATTCATTAAGTATTTAACAAGCTATGGTCTTAAGAAGTCAAGTGAAAAGCACATCTAAAACTCCAATCACCCACTTTCAACTTGCCCCATCCATATCCTTTCTTAACTCCTACTATCAATCCCTACCGTTGATAAACCCTAGATCTAACGGTCCAAATTCAAATTTCTACAAGGACCATGATCCGCGTCAAAGCCTCTCGACCAATCAGAATGCAGCAGTGTGACTCCAGTGCATTATATAAGCTTCCCTCAACGATATTTATCCTCATTGAATTTTCTCTCTCTTCTGCAAACGTTTCGAGTTCGAGATTCTAATCGACTCCGATCATGGCTTCTGCCGCCGATCCCGTTGTCCCCTCTGACGCGCCTGCTGCCGCTGTGGCGGTGGAGAACAATGCGAAGTCGAAAAAAACTAAAGCCTCTAAAGATTCGAAGGCTAAGAAATTATCTGGTGCGAAGAAGACCAAATCATCGCCGACTCATCCTCCTTTCTTTCGGGTATTTGCAATTTGTCTATATTCTGATCAGTAATGCTCGTTTGCTTTTGAATAATTTTTTCTGATCGGATTCTGAAATTGTTCTGAAGATGATTAGCGAAGCGATCGTATCGCTGAAAGAGAGGACAGGCTCGAGTCAGTACGCCATTACTAAGTTCAGCGAAGAGAAGCACAAGCTATTGCCGTCGAATTTTAGGAAGCTCTTGCTTGTTCATTTGAAGAAGCTTGTTTCCGCTGATAAACTCGTTAAGGTCAAGAACTCTTACAAGCTTCCATCGGCGCGCTCTGTCCAGCAGAAATCTTCATCCGCGCCTGTCGTCGCTAAGAAAACAACGATCTCAAAGCTTAAGGCAGCCGCAAGTGTGAAGAAGGCGGCCGCTGTTGCTAAACCGAAGGCGAAAACTGCTGTGAAACCTAAGCCAAATGGCGTGGTGAAGCCGAAGACGGTCGCAAAATCCAAGGTCGTCCAGAAGCCAAAGGCCGCCGCTGTGGCCAAGCCTAAGGCGGCAGAGAAGGTGAAGAAGGTCGCTCCAAAGCCTAAACCTAAATCAAAGCCTTCTAAAGTTGCCAAAACGTTGTCGCGAACATCGCCAGGAAAGAGAGTCGCACCAGCGACGAAGCCGAAAAAGGTAGCGGTGAAGAAGTCAAAGACAGTAAAGTCGCCGACGAGGAAATTGCTGGCCAGAAAAGTCAAGAAATGAATCGTTTAGGGTTTTGATCGATTTCTAGGGTTTGTTACTACTTACTACTCTCAGTTCGTCGCAATGTAAATTAGGGCGACGAGGTTGCAATCACACTAATTTTATTTCAATTCGACGGTTTATCAAATTAATCCTCCTTCTCTGTGTTCTTCAGAGAGTGATTTCCTCTTGATATTTCATAGGGCTGAGATTCTGTGATGAATTATTACAGAGACGAGTTTGAAGCTTCGAGTGCACAGCTTCAATGGCGGATTTCTCCATTTACAGAAGCTTTGTTTCTTTCGCATAACCGCCAATTTCGTGCCTTATCCGTGGGACGTCGTTTCGAAATCTGTATTTCGCACGTGCGTATGCCACGCTGGCAAGAGCTACGGCTTGTGGGTTTTTTTTAATTAAAAAAATTAATGGACTTGGAAGGAATTTGAATTTATTTTTTTTTTGGCCAAAAATAAAACGGAATATTTGTTGAAATCACGTTTCTTTGTTTCTAAATGGTTGACTTTTGACTTAGAATTGGTAATAATTTTTTTAATTGAAGGAATTAATTATTCATGTATATTTGAATAGATATATTCATTTAATTTAAATAATAAATTTATACTTATATTTTGATATGCAAATTTGTCGAAAAATAATTATAAAATTAACTATCTAATTGCTAACAATATAATTTTAAATAACAATATATTTTTTTCAATTTAAATAATTTTTAAAAATTTTGGTTTAATCTAAATTAGCTAACTCTAACGTTCACCCTAACAAGATCCTGGCCATGATATTATATAGGTATGACCTAAAGTGTCATAATCTCAATAAGAAAATGATAGGTTGTGACTCATACAAGCAAATAAACAAGATGACAACCTTCAATTGGCATCCATCCGACTACGTGAGGGTGAGAGTTATGTCGTTCTGAATGGACCTCTTTGAAGTACCATATGATGATCTTCTATAGAATTTGGAGGTGGGTTTGTGGCATACTTATTGTGAGATCCCATGCCGATTAAAGAGGGAAATCGAGTGCCATGGCCCCAAATAGGGGTGGATTGTGAGATCTTACCTCAGTTGGAGAGGGGAACGAAACATTTTTTGTAAGGGTGTAGAAACCTCTTACTAGCATACACGTTTTAATACCTTAAGAGAAATCTCAGAGACGAACTCAAAGAGGGCAATATCTATTAGCAGTAGACTTGGGCGGTTGAGACCTTTTAACCCGATAAAACTCAACACGTTTCAAACGCTACATCTCATCTTATAAGTAAGATACAATCATTATAGCTTTTGAGGAAAACAAAGAATATATATACATTTCATGTTGGCACAACTCACTCAGTCAAGTCATTACAGGCAAAACAACAAAGAAAACAAGCTATTTCTCTTTATGTAACAAACAAGCATCAACCCTTTCCTTTCTTAAATTCTTTTTTTTTTTTTTTTTTTTTTTTGCTCACATTAGATAAAAAGTAGATGTT